AAACATGTTACTGTCAGTAACAGAAACACAGAGCAAAGCTACCTCTGTACTTTGGCACAAGTTAAAGCTGGGCACCAAGAGTTTGGGTTATTCTTAAATACATGTGCTGGTTGAGAATCATACTCTCAGCTGCAGGGCAATGTAATGTGAGAGCAGCTGACTTGATAAATTTACATTACCCAGTCTTGAGGCTGACCAATGCATCCACAACACCAGTCTGGTGGTACTTAGTCATGTACTGGTGCATATCTGGGTAGTTCTTCCGAATGTTGCGCTCAGTGCTTCCGTTGGGAACCGTCCCAAAGCGAAATGGCGGGGAGTAGGAGTGTGGCTTCTGGAACTGAGGGGAGAAGAAGAATGAAAGCAAGAAAAATATGGCATTTGTTAAAAGAGACTTACACCGATGTGTGGGAGGAGCGCAGAGGGGAGAGGCAAAGATAAAAGGCGTGAGTGACATCAGGAAGAGAGAAACGAGAGAAAGGAAAATAAGAAAAGAAAAGTTCAAGTAGTAGTGGGGGCAAACATGAAGAAAAAATAAAGGAGGGAGGACAGAGGAATGGAGGACAGTGGCAAGAAGAGACAGACAAGGAAGGAAAGATAGCAGAGAGGACTCATCAGTCATCATCATTGTGTATCCAGTGTAGTGTAAGACTGGCTGGGGTTCTGCTGACACTGCCAAGCTCTGCAAACTACACACATTCTTGCCTTTGATCTGTGCAGCATGCGTGTGTGTCTGTGACTCTGCTGTGCTGGCAGTGATAGTGAGGTGACAGGGATGGCCAGTGGGTTTGGGCTGTGAAGCCTGAGGGCACTCCCCAGAGAGTCTTGTCTGGCCGCGGGCCTGGCATCCATTACAAGAGCAACCCTGACTGCGAATGTGTTTAGTTTCCTCTATGCATGTGCGTATGTGTGTGTACCTATGTTTGTGTAAACCCACCTTTTTGTCAGACAGTCCAGTGACTTGGTCCACAAATTCTTCCTGGATCATAAAGGCGGCCAGGTTGGCAGTGTACGAGGCCAGGAAGATGACAGCAAAGAAGGCCCACACTGACACAATGAATTTACTGGTGGTGCCTTTGGGGTTCTGCACAGGCACAGAGTTGTTGAAAACCAGACCCCACAGCAGCCATATGGCCTTTCCAATGGTGAATGATGGACCATGTGGGTCTGAGAGATCAGCCGGAGCAATACAAAAAAAATGGAAAAGGATTGCATGATGAGTCAAAGATAAAGCATAGTGAAACACTGAACTCACATTTTTATCTGATGGTGTCAAAATACCATCAGATTCGTCTTGTGTTCTAGAGGCATGGACCAATTATTAGTATCAAGGTACATAAGAGGTTATAAATTGTTACAGTTATACTAAAAGTTTCAATCTCACTGTTCCTATGATTCAAAGTTTTTTAATCAGATGTAACTGAAGCAAGCTGGAGTGACCAGAATTATCTCCATTACCTCCACCTGTTGATATGCACTGCCTGCTAGTGGCTGAAAGAAACCAAACCTTTGTTGCACAGCAATGCACATAGTGTATAAGAACACTGTCCACTTCAGCTGTTCATTCATACACTTAACATTTTTCTGATGATTTTTTATTACTTAAATCTGTTCTAAACCACCCCATAATTGTATCTTTGACCTTGTTGTGTTCCTTTTTCTTTATGATGCTGGTAGCTGACTTATAATCTTTATGAAACCTCTGAAGTACTGTGGCCGACAGGTGCAAACGAGTAGCAAACAGCTTAAGAAGCAGCAAACAGGTGCAATCGCAAAGCACATAGCAAAAAAAAAAAAGAAGCTGCCAACAAATGTAAAAAATAAAAAAACAATTGCAACAGAAAAACGATGCAAACAGAAAAAAAAATGTGGCAACAGAAAACAGAAGTTAAAACCTTCAATCAACAAAACACAAGCAAAAAAAAAAAAAAAATGCTGCAAACACAGAACCGCTAATGTGAGAGGAATATTCATGCTTTTATTTTGAAATTTTCAGTAAGCTTTATTTTAAAGGGCTATACTAATCCTATGAGTATCAGTGGTTGGATTAAACCTGTTATATAATGCTCAAAAGATTCCGCCATGTCTTTAGTTGTAACATTCTGCTCAGCCTTCTTATGTTAGAGTTCCACTGTCATTGTAGTTCTTAACTGCCAGCTCAGCCCTCCTCTGTAGTAACTGAGAGTTCTGCCATCACTGTAGTTCTAAGCAGGGCCTGGGTTTCAGATGACGTCACCCAATGCAGATGGAGGGCCGGAAGTAAATGCAGCCCATTTATTTCTGTTGATCCAGCATCAAAATGCCTAAAGTCTGTGTTCTGTACGGTTGTTCCAACCATTTTAATAGAGAGAAAGATAAACCTTATTTTCGTGTTTCAAAGGTAGGGAGTTAATTTTAAAAAACTTACTGAAAAAGAGGAGAAAAGTGAATCAATACAGCTAAAAACAGAAGATGCGGAAACTAACACCACCAGAGTTTGCAGCGCCCGTGCACTTTCTAACAGTTAATGACCACATTGTTTAAATTGTATTTTCAGATGTTTTATTGGACAGTTACTTAGACAAGTATTCATATGTAAGGTAAAATATATTATTTTTATGGCCTAGCTTGGTTGTCCTGGGAGTGCTAACGTTGTTAGCAGCTATTCAGTGCTGGACATAATATAATGTCCGAGTCCCACTGAATATAATGTTTATTCAGTTGGACTTTCATGCTAAAAAAAGAGCTAAATAAATATAACCTACCCAGCCATACAGTCACAGTGAGCTGTGACTTTTCCCCCACATGCTTTGTGTCTGGTCACGAAGTATATTCGTGGCCAGACATGAACATGGGGCTTCTGTAGATCGGAGTGAATTATGGGCCTACATTGGACCTGAATCCAGCGTCCTACAACGACTCAACATTAACATACAACTCCAGCATGAATTTTGGTTTACAGAAGCTAAATAAATTATTTACCAGGAGATCCAAGCACATAGATCTCCTGGTAAATTTATGTGTTAGTGGTAGCAACACATAGATTGGCAATGTTGTTAACGGTAGCATCATTGTCATAGACTAATTACTTAAAATAGCACAATTCACTACTCAAGTCGACAACCATCTAATGCTTCTTTTGATCCTAAATGCTTGACCCAACTTGAAACTAATAACTGTATTCTCCAGGCTTTTGAAAACTTTCTTCTGGCTCGCTGTACAATATTGAACTAAACAAGTGTAAAAGTGGGTTGGCTCTCACATTGTTGTCAGTGAGGCAGTATTTTTTTTCTGTAAGATTGACCAGCAGCCTGAACGACGTTTGCCCCCCAAATCCAACCAAGTGCTAAAAAGAGAAGCTATGTCAGTTTGAAATGTAGTCGATGGGATGACAACCAGGGGGCCGTTGCTAAGGAGCTCTCGGAAATTGGTTTTACATTTTGTGCAAGAGTTTGCAATGTATAGTTCCCAATCTGTGTTACCGTCAAGGGAATCCACCCAAATCAACACAGAGTCCAGTAAACATGCCATGTCAAAGTCTTTTCCCAAATTTGGTGACAGTTTGCTCCCCCTCAGCTCCATCAGAACTGGGGAGATCTCCTTTTGGGAAAAGCATTTGCCTGGCTGTAGGACAGTTGAGTGGATGAGACTCGCACAGCAGGGAATGGATGAAGTCTCTAGAAATACCTTCTCCTTAGCAAGAAGCCTCCTGGTGACCCTCAGGTGCAGGACACTTTGAAGAGTGGCATTCAACCAACTGTTTTAGAGTTCGTTGGAGAACTTACAGAAGTTCTTCTCGATGTCTCCTTGTGGTGCAGCTGCCATTCTCTCCTCATCTGGGATGTCAGAGCCAACTCTCTGTCCTGGATTGTTAACGTACCCATCCGGGGAACAGTTAACCTCAAAGACAACAGTTACTCTACCATTTAGAGATGGTCTTTTTGACAAATCAGTGGCTGTGACATCTCTGTCGACTCCCTTTCGTTCTGGTAATTGAAAGACACCCGTAAATGTGTCTTTCAGAGAACTCTTCTCTGGCAATGCCAGAGATGAAATTGATGGAGCCAAAACTTTCGCTGTCAGTTCAGCAAAAGCTTTGGCAGAGAGGTCATCCACAGATAAATATTCCCCAGCTGGGTTAGATTTTAATTTGGGAATGATTGGAAAACCGTTCCCTGCGGCTGAACTCTCACACTATAGATCATCTTGTACCATCTGACTTGCAGAACAAACCTCCCCGACCGGGTTGGTTTGGTCAAAGACAGTTTGATCGTCCTTAGTACTGTCTTGTTAGGTCTTCATCATGTGTAAGTCTAAGGTCATCAGTCATCAGTCGCGTGTTCAGAACAAACCTCCCCGACCGGGTCGGTTTCTTCTTTGGGATTGGATGAACGTACAGTCCAAAATAAATCGCTCTCATCCTGAGAGAGACTTTCATGCAAATCCTTCCCTGGAAAGTAATAGTGAAATATTTTCTTCAAACCTGTGGTGACGGTGTATCCAAGCCCGAAACTGAGCGGGAGAAAGAAAGGGACTAGCGCCTTCGTAATACTAAACATCCTGATATGCAAAATTGAATCTCCAAGAACCGTTCGGATCTTAACTGATGTATTGAGACACAAGCATTCAAGCATCAGAACTTCTTTGATCTATTGTGATGTACATGATGTCATCTATGACCTCATCGGTGAGCTCATTGTAGTTCTGGGGCAGTCTTGCTTCTGATCGTTGCTATGAAAATGATGCATGAGTCAAACTGAAATAATGGCTAAATATTTTAATAATATTTATTATTATTTAAGAGATTAACAATAGATTTGTATATGATTGAATTTTTACATTTGTGGTTTTCCATACTTGCTGCAGTATCCATTATTATTTTTTTATTCCAAAACAAACAAACAAACAAAAAAAAAAAAAAGAAAAAAAAAGGCTCTATTTGAAAGTAGTTTGACAGGAAACAGGGTAATGGGAAGACATGCAGCAAATGTCGCCAGGTCGGGAATAGAACCTGCGACTAACGCCACGAGGACTAAGGCCTCAATACGTGGGTCATTCTTTGCCCCTGCGCCATCACAGCAACCATCCATTATTATTTTTAAACACAATCCTAACTGTAGCGCCGTGCTTCGAGCTCACGTCACAGCAAATAAACGATTGCTTACATGCAGTAACTCGTGGACCGCTAAGAGGCATCTGCGGACCACCAGTGGTCCAGGGACCACAGTTTGAGAAAGACTGGTCTAAAGCAAGTACTGGTCAACCTCACACTGTTGCTAACTGGACCTGTTCTAGTTATTACTTCCAGTTGAGGCTGAATATTTTGAACTGTACTATTTTAATCTCTAGTAGAGCCTTTGCTTTAAATAATTATATATATTTTCACATATGTATTATATTACAATATTTTATAGTTCTTAACTGCCGAATCAGCCCTCCTTTGTAGTATCTGAGTGTTCCACCATTAATGTAGTTGTAACATTCTGCTCAGCCTTCTTCTGTAGTAACTCAGAGTTCCACCATCATTGTCATTGTCATTGTCCATCATCATCACTGCCAACTCAGCCCTCGCAAGTCAGTCACTGCCCTCCCTATGCATTGCTATGGCAGGTCCCAATTATCAGAATAAACCAGAAGAAATACGCTGCTTGGAAGGGTACACTCTTTGGAAGAGTGTACTTCATATCACAGTATGATGTGGTTTATTTTTTGTTTGACTCCCCCTAGTGGTCTGGAGTACTTCTGTTTTGTGGAGTGAATTTGCTGTTTTTGCTATTTGCAGCATTTCTCCCACTTGCAGCTTGTTCTTGTGACTGCAGGGTTTATTTGTCATTGCAGAATTTCTTGTGATCGCAACCTTTTATTTTGTTGATGGAAGATTTTTGCTTCTATTTTCTGTCACTGAAGCATTTTTGTTTGCAGCATTTTTCTGTTTCATTTGTTTTTTCGATTTTTGCACCTGTTGGCAGCTCATTTCACAATTTGCACGTCGGCCACAGTACAGAGGCTCTCGAAGAACAGCTGAATTTAAACCGGAATTAAAGTTCACTTCATATATTAGTAGCTTCCACTGCTTGTTCTGCATTTTCTTTAGAGATAATGTGGCTGTGTATAAATGCACACCAGACTTTTCTTAAAGCAAAGCACCACTTTGTCTTTTAATATTACAAATAATCCCAACAAATACACTGAAGTTGGTGTTTTTTTTATATGACAACTGGGATGAAGACTTTCCAATAACTGCATGTTTGCTTTTATCATTTTAAAGGAAAATAAGTAGTATAGAATCATCATACTGAAAATTCATGCTACAGCGTTAATAATATAATCTTTTTAGATGTGGAGATGCTTTATCAGTCTATATAACATTAACATTAAGCCAAACACAGAGGTGCCACATAGTGTTTCAGTAAATAAAGTAAATATTCATGACACAGGTTCTATGTTTTGATGTTGCATTCAAACAAAAGTTCCTGAGAGCAGCTTCAGGAAAAAAATGGGAAAGTCATCCTGCTTTTGCATGAATTGATTCAAGTCACAGCAGTAATAGGTCACTTTTTTCTTGCTTAGGGGAAAACGTTGAATTACCACTTCCTGCTGCTGGTAAAAGTATTGGTGTAATATTCCATATAACATGTGTGTGTGCAGGTCTACCTTTGCCTTGGGCCAGGTTGCGGTTGAAGCCCAGTGGACTGACAAATTCAAAGAGGAAGACGGCAATGGCTGTAACAATCAGCAGCATCACAAACATCATCACCCAAACTGATGCACTGAAGGGCTCTGGGGAGAGAAAGAGACACTCAGTGTTTGTGAAACTGAGTCCATGAGCTGAAGAGATGTCAAAGAGGAGAAGGAGATGCACAAAAAAAGCAACACGGTTGAGGGGGAGGGAGATACAAAAAGATGACGGAGGAGACACCAGTGAGAGGCTAGGGAAGGAAGGAGAGGGAGAGAGTTAGTCACAGAGAGTTTGAAGGAACACATTTCCATATTTTTCATTATTCCCTCGGATGAGAGCTGAGAAACGGGGAGGCTCAGGGCAGAGGGGGACGGAGGAAAAGAAGGAGGAGAGACAGAGGAAGGTGGAAGAGACGAGATTCAAACTAAGTGATCTGATATGCCGCCACTATCAACATGAATGTGTGATTTATTTGTGTGCGTATGAGTCTGTGCTTGGTGTGCAGCAGGCCAGGAGTTCAGACAGCGGGATGAGTGCCAGAGCTGCTGAACCCACACAATGTGTGTGTGTGTGTGTGTTTGCGTCACTGCATGTGTAAGTATGTAACTGCCAGGGTTAGCCAACCCTGAGAGATTGTGTGCTGAGGTGCCCCTAATATGAGTGCGAGAGATACTGAACCGTCACTGATACCCTGAGCCCGACTCCACATACACACACACCCACACACACGCATCCACGCACAAACACACGCCCGCACACAAAGCATTCAGCTCTTATCATCAACCATAAACAGCCACAGCACATTCATTTTCTACATGTCCTTTACTTTATACAAAAACATCCCAATATATTAGTGCAACATCAGAAACACATTTTTATATGTAATTCTGACACATGGCTTGATACACAGGGGGCAACACATGCACGGTCCAATACACCCCACCACAGCCCCCTCACTCTCTGTCTCGCTCCAATGACAACACAAGACATTAGGCAAGCAGAACGCTTTTGGTTTCTCGTCATCTCAACAACTGGAGAAAGGGAAGAAGAGGAGGAAGACAAAGCAAACATCAAAACTGTTTTGTCTAAGCTGACTTTTCAAAAAAGGAAAAAAAAAAAAATAGAAACAGCTGGCATGCTCCACTTGCTCTGCTCTGGTAGAAATATTAATGTGCTTAGGGTTTTGAGGCCCCGATGAAGTCAGAGTACAAGTGGAGTTTGGCCAGCATATAGCGAGTGAATAAAATATTCCATTTCATGTTGAGGATTTTGCCACCATGTAAGCACCGCCCCATTATTGAGGCCCCAGGAGTCCTCTCAGCAGGATGTTAGACAGAAAAAAATGCACAAGTAGGAAAACATTTTTTATTAGAGAAAGTCAAAAAGATACCAAGAAAGGCAGAGGGTGAGACGGTCCCATTGCTGCGTGACACCATGACGCTGATGCCAGTCTCTACGAAGGGCACGGAGAAGTCGATGACCTCTGACCTTTCCTCGTTGATGGTCAGTGATCCCACAGCCATGATGGCCTTCTTATACACCACCTGAAGTGTAGAAAAGTATAGATAAAATGGAAAATAAATGAACCTGTTTATTTTTATTTTTGATTTGATTTATCAAATCAAAGGGCTCATTTGAAAATATAGAATGAGTTTATGGGGTAGGAGTTCATAAGTTTCTTACTTTTCTAGCATGTTAAGATTACTGTGGTACAAAAATATGTGTCTTTTGCACTTCTTGTTCATGATTTTATACTACTATTATGTAGTATAAAATGTATTTATTCGAAATAAATAAAGAAAATAACCCATGATAACACCTGGAACTAGACTGTCTTTAACTTAATGAAAGGGACTGAATAAAGGCATGAGATAGTAGTGATCATTAGACTAGGATGACATTTGAATGGAATATTCAGTATATGCATTCTGTAAACTTATGTCAAAATATGTTCACTTTATAATATACGGCATTTCATTAGTAATTTGGACAAATCCTAGAAAAAAGTTACAATTCTTTCCCCCCACCTTTTTATATATAGCATAGGAAAATCAAAAACACTTTGGAAAAAATTTCTGACTTATAGGATCATAATTCATGCATGAAAGGGAATTATTTTTATTTAACTAGTAAAATCAAGATGTCAGGGTGTGCACCTCCTCTCACCCAATGAGAGCTAGAGATGGGTGCCAGCCCCCCCAAACCCTTTAAGGATACACACACTAGTCATTTCTAATCTTTTAAAAAAAACTTTAATCTTTAATATACTATACAATTCTTTGCATGGGAGCAATATATATTTTTAATAAATATTTTTAAAAAATAAATGAAGGACTTCTGGTTTACCATGCGAAAACAGACATAGCAACAAAGTGCTCCAAAGAAGTTCAACTTCTTAACTCATTTCACTCAACAGATGGCTACTTTTGATCCGCCGCTGGTACAATAACATCTTTGTTAATTTTTTTTTTTACATTTTTTACCCACTAGTTACAGTTTCTAAGAGCGCAAAAAGAAGTAAAAAGGAGGATGTTAGCTTAATGCTAGATGCTATCACTGCATTGCTTCAGCAGCAGGATCTGACATCTGAGTTTAAATCTTCAGCTAACATACTTAGCTCCAAGCTAGAGCAGGTACAGAAACAGGCAGACACAGCTTCCTCTTTAGAGAAGGCAACAGACGATCTGAGGCAGCTAGCTTCAAAGACTGTGCCGCTCTCCGTAAAGACAACGTCAAGCTAAAGGACAACTCTACCAAGCTGTAGCAGGTAACAGAACATCTACAGCCTCTGTCTGCCTGAAGACACTGAAAGTAGGCTCCCCACTCATTTTTTCTCCAACCTCCTCTGCAAGCTGTTTATGAAATAAGTGCTCCAGAACCCACCACAGCTTGATAGAGTGCACCGCTCCCTCACAGCTAAAAGTCTCGCAAGGCGTCCACCTCGCCTGGTTCACCTGCATCGGTACCTGACCAAAGGCCTCATCATTCGGGAAACTAAGAGGAGAGGGAAGCTTGAGTACTGATGTGTAAAGGGCTAATTTTGTGGCTTTACAAAATGTTAAAATGTCAAACAGAAAACCTTCTCACCCAAACTTAAAATTTCGGTAACATTTATTTGAATGGGGGTGAATAAGACTGTCATGACACTGTCATAAACATGACATAACACCTGTCATAAACATCAATAAGTCTTCATGAATATTTATGACTGTTGTCATAAAGTGTCATTTGGTAAATCATGACACTTTTAATACAAAGTTGACATTATTGAAAATGTCTTTGTTATAACAACTTGACATTAATCTAGACAAAATGTCTTTGTTATGACAACTTGTCATTAATCATGATCTGACATAAATTTGTCATAATACTAGTCATAATGATTTAATTATTACACAAGCAAAATATTTAACAAAACTATAATTAATATTTCCACTCCCTGAAATAAAACAAAACAAGTCGGACAAGCAATAGATTTCATTAAGCTTTATTACACTGTCAAATGATTTAATAACACTCATTAACATTTTTTTACATCAACTAAAGTGGAACAAATAGCACCAGTTATGAATATGTCATTAAGTGTTATTACAGTGTCATTAAGTAAAGTGAAACAAGTAGCAACAGTTATGAAGATGTCATTAAGTATCATTAATATTAACTCTTACCTCAAGTAAAGTTTAACTAGAAGCAACAATTATAAAGATGTCAATTAGTGCTTTTGCAGTGTCAAATACTATGCTAACAGAGTCATTGATATTAAGTCTTACCTCAAGTGAAGTGAAACACACTGGAGAACAAACCCTTTGTACATTGGAATAAAACAAAAGTTATTTTATTATTAAAAGTTATTTTAGTTAATGTTATTTTATCAAAGAAAATGTAAAGTTAATAAGACACATACCTCATATGTATTAGGTGTCAAACTTTGGCTTCTTTTTAAACAGGAGGTCTGGCCATTATAACTTGTGTTAGGTTGGCCCCACCATAGACATAATATAAGAGTAGACCCCGCATTGGCCTCTCCGGCGCAGGAAATACAGCAGCTATCTTGGAGCGGTATATCCTCCTACTTTGCTCAATCAAAACAGCAGAAGATGCCTCAGCACTGACGGATATTGTTGTTCGGATCGATGGATTAT